GGTAACATGAGGCGATACTTAGACCCTGCATTAGGGGTGAAAAACTCCAGGCCTCAAGGGCCGGTGTCCTGCAGGTTTTAGATATCACCCTGGGTTAACACACCTGAATTAGTTCATTACCAGGCCTCTGGAGAACCTCAAAACATTTTGATGGTGTCACGAAGTGGGATGGACTCAAGCGCAGACAAGGCAGCTAGAATACAGTTCCGTTTATTACTATACAACACCAGGTGCAAATATATACAAGTGAGAGGGCGGGGGGAATCCAGGGCACAGGGGAATCCGGGAAAGGAGCTCTTCACACATGAGGGACTTCACAAAAAACACAGCACACCAGCAAGCCCGCACACCAAGGGTTCCAGGGAAACGGAATTCCTGTTTACAGACAACAAGTGATTAATCCAATCAGTCAGCGATACGAAAAGGCAACAAGAGACTAGTACTCCGGAGCTTACTACCGAGGTTACTCAATAGTCCAGCGACGAGATGTTTCCAGCCACTGCCTTAAGTAGTGGATGAGTTTAGGCGATGAGCCACAGTTGTGTGATTAACCTCAGGTGCGAGGGCCAGGGGCGGGAGCCCGCAATGAGCTCCGCCCCGGCGAGACACGGCAAGCGTGAGAGAGGTAGATGTAAACAAGAAACATATGTAGCCAACCTGAGTCAGCCGGGCAGACACGGGGACCATGACAGAGGGGGTAATTTAGCCATTTAAATCAGCTGTGTTGGATCAAGGACACATCTAAAACCTGGAGGAGACAGGCCGTTGAGGCCCGGAGTACACCCACCCCTGCCCTGCAGAGATTGCACAGTCTCACAGGCAGGCTTCAAATACAGCTAACAGGCATCCAGCCTCCCCTATCACTGTCCCAACCCACGCAGATGGCAACAATCCAGTCAAGGGGACCTCGATCACCTTAGTCTAACGTGGACTCTCCCCTCTCATCATCATAATAAGTTACTAATTAAAATGACTAGTGTAACCTAAGCGGTGAACGACAAACAAAATAATAAGAGTGTCTGCAGACACGATCGGA